GGGCGGAAGCTGCGAGAGGGCAGAAAACTCTCCTCTCTACGGCCGCGGTGGAAGCGAGCCGAACCCGGCGGGTCGAGGCTGCGGATGGAAACGAGCGGGATGGATAAACTTCGAAGCGACTGTCCCCGAGGCTGATGCATAATTCAGGAATCGTCACCGGCGAGGATATTGCCAATTTGGCGTCGATGAAAATACGATCGGATTTGTCGGCTACCCCAGAATGGGGCTCGTCCGACGTACATCCAGTGAATTTAACACCTTCGCCCGACGTGTCGGCAGCGTACCGTGCGAAATTGCATCGGAGCCAATCGCCGGATCGCGCGCCGCGATCGCCTCTCTAATATCCTCCTTGCCACCCGGGCCGTTCCACGGTTAATGGCTTCCCGTGCCGTCGCTTATCTAACGGCCAACCCTCTGGCTGCTTCGCTCTTCTTCGAGGACACGCGTCTGTTGTCTTACGAGCTCGCCAATTCGAATGGTGCGTTGGTCATTGGAGGATGCGGGGTTTGCGGAGTCTTTGAGTTATGATCGGGTTTTGGAATTCTCGTCAGGTGGTTCGTAGAATGTGGATCTTAGGGATTCTTCATGTTAACCCTTTGCACTCCGAATATTTCGAATGCCTTAATAGTTCATTTCTATAGAGGAACGTTCGAGAATCTAAAGTTTCGTTTTGAGAAAGGAAAATTACATGTATACATGGATTCGTGTCTTTTAATTTGTTCTGTCAATTTCCCATGTTCGAACAGAAAGAATTTTACAATTTGAGGTTAATGTAACGTGACATCTGTGATGCAAATTATGTCTCTATAGCAGAGCCAATAGAGTGCAGTTTAGGGAGAATTCGAATGATTAACACGTCAAACGCCATGTCAGTCACCGATGACACTTCTGAATTATTGGGAAATGATCGTAACATGAGGGATAACCCACGTCCAATGAAAATGTTTAATGACGTAACTAAGCTGATAATAGTATAATGCAAGGATTGTAACGACAATTGTTTAATAATTCTTCCTGCTTTCCTTTGCTACGAAAGAATAACTTTACGCAGAAGCGGTCAAGATTTCCATGGCGCTGAACGTGTTAATGAAGATATAAGATTTTTAGCGTCTTTGAAGCATTTAGCCTTTTCAACCCTTAACGGACCGAAGGTATTTCAAGTTTACTTATGAAAAATATCGTAACGTAGATAAAAAGGAAGAAATTCACAAAAGTGAGCTAGCACGATACCTAATGTGTTAATTGTAAATATTACAACAATAACAGTGAAAAAAACAATGATGCACTAAAGTGCCATGCGACTTATATGGCGGTGGTTCGTTAAGGGTTAATATTCTTTTCGAGATTTTCGATGCTGAATCGGCGAATCGGGGTACGAATCTATCGAGCGGAAGTTTCGAATGAGTTCTATTGAAAAAAGGAATGATTTTTCGTCACGCGGGTCTGTGTAATAGTTTGATCGGCTTTGGAATGATTACTTGGGCCAACTCCGCGGTATCCTTTCATCGATTTCAGATGAGCCGCTTTATGCGCGCATTATACCCCCATTAGAAGCCAGATAATTCGTTTTTC